GGGGGGTGGGGGGGGCGGGGAGCCGGTCATTTTTCCGCTCCGCCTACTCAGATTCGCTCCATCGCGACCTGGATGGTGGAGACCCACCGCCGAAGCCCGGGAGCGACCCGATCGTCCTCCCCACCGGCGGCAAGCACTTGTATTCTTTAAACCACTACGGCAGGATCACCAGCGCTCTAATGGAGAGGCGGCAGCATTGGGGTGGCAATCTCACCGAGCTGGAGACGATGGCTCATGAAGCTTGGACTTTGGGAGTGAAGGCTTGGAGGGAAGTGGAGAATTTTGAGGACAAAGGGGATTTGAACCCGGCTACGTTGCTTGAAAAGAAGCAAGAGCCGTGCCCCATATCTGTCTCCATGGGGAAAGATGAGACGGGCTCTGGAGAGAGCTTGATGTTTCTGCCATGTGGACTCGAGGTGGGTTCTTCCATCACTGTGATCGGTACTCCACACTATGCTCATCAGGAATTTGTACCTCAGCTGGCGAAGCTGAGGCAGGGGGAAGGGATAGTCATGGTATCTCAGTTTATCGTTGAGCTGCAAGGACTTAAGGCAGTTGATGGTGAGGAACCGCCAAAGATTTTGCACTTCAATCCAAGGGTGAAGGGTGATTGGAGCCATAGACCTGTCATTGAGCACAATACATGTTACAGAATGCAATGGGGGAAAGCAATGCGGTGTGATGGGATTGCTTCTAAGGATGACGACGATACAGGTATTTTAGTGGCCCCACAGCTTCAATTTTCATGTTTTAAAGTGTTAATTAGAAATTCTGTGTTTTATGTCGATAACTTGCTGTTAATAGGTTGCTTCAAAGGAGAGTGATATGCTAGATATAGCTACGAGCTTGCATTTTGCTTTTCAAGCAAAAGTAAGGTTTTCAAGGTCTCACTAGTTGAATTTGCTTATACGAAGCATGCATTTTAGTAATTTTTTTCCCTTCGGTTTTAGGCTATTTGGTATCTTAGATATTACAAGCTATATGAAGTACTTAAATCACGAATGAAAAATATCTTGCCAGTTCATTTCATATAACCCTTTTTGTCAGCATATATCAAGTTCACTTCGAATGAAAAATATCTTGCCAGTTCATTTCATATAACCCTTTTTGTCGGCATATATCAAGTTCACTCAAGAAAATGGAATTATTTGTCCAAATGAATCTTCTTCTCGCGCTCTAAATGATTGGAAGTAGGGCTTTGCCTAGGGAGTGGGGTGAGAGCCAAACCAAGATTTGGGTTGTGGGGTGAGGCTGGTGGGGCCTTGCCTGACTGAAGTGAGACACTAAAATGTGTAAATCTAGTTAACTTATAAATTTATTTTAATTATATGTAATACATTCAAAGAGGTTAAAAATAATCATCATATGAAATTTATGCGGGTAAACTTAATTTTTGAAGTTTCATTGGTATTACAAATTTGAAAATCATGATAAATAGCTTACCTTACATACATACAGTTAAATTATCCAAGTATGTAGTATGTATATCTTTGGGATAATCAAATCTTCATCATTATCCTTTTCATCTTTTTCATTATCCATTCTCTCTTTTCTGCCAATGAATTTATAACCCTGCATTTGTTCTTTTGTGTCACTTGTCAAGAACTTGAATCTTTTGTATATAAATTTGATTTATGTTATTTATGAGGGCATCAAACTTGTGAAGCATTTCACATTTCATATGCTCGAATTTTAGTTTTTGTTATCAAAAACTAACATGCATTCAACATTGGAAGAATTATCATTCATCTATCAATTCAAGGAAAAGCAATCGCGCAGATGTTATTGGCTCAAGGATAGATGCTCGTCTAAGAATGCCTTAATAATGTGTGTACCTGCTTGAGAGTAGTAAGAGATTACCATTGTCACGCCGCCACCGCCGCCGCCGCCACCACCACTACCAAGCTCACATGACTTGTCATACGGGCTTGCTTATTTTCCTTTATTTTGATGTTGCTTTTACCTTCATGTTAGATGAGGTACTTGGACAATGTCATCTACTTGCTTGTTATTTTATATTTGCAAAGCGATTGTCATCTTATTTTTCTGCTATGTTTTATTACCTTTATGTGCATATGTGTTCTATGTAGTTATGTGACGAGAAAGCATCATATCAAGCTTCTGGTTTAGAGCTTAGCTATCATCATTTTTGATAGCATAATAACAGGAACGGCCACTTACGTTCTCACTAGGAACATTTATGAGCTATTCACCCTCAATTGTTTCTAAACTGTTATTTTCTAAATTAATTTGTCGAATGTAACTTTAGGAAATGTTGATCTGTCCACCTTTTGCAACCTTGCAATTATAGTTGTGGAATTCTCTTAATAACAACCACTAGTTTATCTATAAATATATTTTAGTAAGTTGTGTTGTTTTCATTCCCTCCATTATCTTGATGATTTTTGTGCTGAATCATTGCATTTTTCTTTTAAAAACTGTCTATAAATATTTGCCATTCTTTATCTATTATTAGATGCTGATTCACAAAGTCAAAACTTACTTGACATTTGCTATTAGATCAGCAATGTTTATATATATATACTATTTAGCTAAACATTCCAACTAAACACCTTCATGCTAAACGAGCAACATTTTTCAGCTTCTGTTGTTGTTGTTGTCAGTGTGGTTCGCTATTTTTTGCTTTTTTCATAATGTTGATGCATGTTAATAAACACATTATGATTTGATTTGGACGTCAATATGCAAGTAGAAATATTTTCAAGATGTCATCTCGACATGAAAAAAAAAGCGATTTTATCTTTAATACAGTAATAAATGCTATTTATTTTCAACTGAAACATTAGATGCTTTCATATCCTCGTACTTAGTTGGAAATTTTAAGAATTGGCAGTATGATAAACGAGGGTTTCCATATCTACCTGTGTAAATCTTTTTAAAGATTTTAGTGGTGACTTTGTTGCACATCCCATATTTTTTGTGAAACCCTTTTTTTTTAGTTGGAAATGCATAATTTCCAGTGTTTCTTTTGGGCAGTTGATGGATACAGCAAATGTGAGAAGATTTTAGTGGTGACTTTGTTGCACATCCCATATTTCTCGTGAAACCCTTTTTTTTATAGTTGGAAATGCATAATTTCCAGTGTTTCTCTTGGGCAGTTGATGGATACAGCAAATGTGAGAGATGGTTACGGAGTGATATTATTGATTCAAAAGAATCCAAAACAACCTCTTGGTTGAAGCGATTCATTGGTCGTGCAAAGAAGCCAGAAATGACGTGGCCTTTCTCTTTTATGGAGGGCAGGTTATTTGTTCTGACATTTCGTGCTGGCATAGAAGGATATCACACTTTTGTTGGAGGCCGGCATTTGACTTCATTCCCATATAGGCCGGTACATTTTCATAATTCTTTTGAAGACTCCTCTTGTTTTCGTTTTTAGATTCATATGTTCAATTTTTTAGATTAGAACTAACAATTAAGTATTTTACTATCTTGTGCCCACTTTTCTAGGGGTTTACTCTTGAAGATGCTACAGGTTTAGCAATCAAAGGAAATATAGATGTACATTCAGTATTTGCCACTTCTCTTCCCCAATCACATCCTAGTTTTTCACGTCAGCAAGTCTTGGAACTTTCAGAAGTATGGAAGTCCGACCCTCTTCCGCAACAACCAATTGAACTTTTCATTGGCATTCTATCTGCTACCAATCATTTTGCAGAACGGATGGCTGTTAGAAAAACCTGGATGCAGTATTCTGCCATAAAGTTATCAAATGTTGTTGTGCGGTTCTTCGTTGCCCTGGTAAGATTTCTTGTGCTTTTTACACAACAGTACTCCATGGCTGGCTGAAGTATAGATGTAGGAATCTTTTTTCGTTGTACCTATAGGATTGGGTAGTGTCCTGAAGTAAAATTGTCATTGCCATTTGCAAGAAAATAATTGAAATATAGTTTCCACTTAACATGGTAATGTAACCATTTTAATCATTAGAATCGCTTGATTTGTTTCAGTTTTTGCTTTTAGAAATAAGTTTCTAACATTTTGTCGATATGTTTTTCGTTCATTGAGTTGATGAAATTTACTTAAGAAAAATAATCTATTCCTGGTTAGATGTAGTTGTTAATAGCCCATAACAATCATTCTTTGAATTTGGTGGACTTTTTAATTTAGTTTTGTAGCATAGATAGTAATGTTATGACTGCATAAATATATGGTTGAAGTGTGAAATGACCATATTAGTCAAAGTTTATGAGTTAGTGTTATCAAAAACAATCAGCACGCCATAGGCTATTTTGCTCCCCACACTTATGGCGCTAATTCCTATCTAGGCTGAACTTTTCTTAGCTTGAAATAGGTTTAAACATGCTGTTCCTTAATCTATCTGGCACCTCAATTCTATACCATTATGACATCAATGATTGAAAAGTAATACTGCAGAATATTATGGACTGCTAGAATTTTTATTTAACCTAGGCTTTCATTAAAAGGCATGCAAAGATTTAGGATTCCCTATGAGATAGCCACCTTCCCAGATGATGGTAATATGATCAAGGAAAAGATATTACTATGTAATGAATCATCAAATCACTAATTATGTTATCTTATATTCTTTGACCTTTCTTTTCCTTTGTTTTGCAATTATTATATTTGCTTGATGTTCATTACCTTTGAAAGTCAAATTTCAGCAAATATTAGTGAGGTGATTCACTATTTATACCCAAATGGAGTGGAGGATAACAAATGTGGACAGGTGTTAGTGGGTAGGCTGCTTTTATTTTCTTGTACTGCTGAAGCTTGGGAACAAAAGTATAGAGGGACAATGGAAGCCCAATGACTTTGCTATTCCTTGGAATTGATGCAACAAGAACTATTTGAGTGGAAAGAGCTGAAAAATAAGAGAAGAAATAATGACAATTGAATTAAATAATATTCAATTGATTTCAATGCTTAGTTTTAAGCTATGATTATAGCAACCTAATTTCCTAAGGAATAAATAAAATAATTGAACTTATAAGAGGTAAGATGCTGGAGAGATTGTAGCAAATAAAAGCACTATATGCTTTATTTTTTTATTTTTTATTGGAGAGATTGTAGCAAATAAAAGCACTATATGCTTTTTTTTATTTTATTTTTTTTTATTTTTGACTAATTGAGAATGTGCTGGGGCATGAACTAGCATGATGAGGGTATTTCACATGAAATGAACGTTATGTCTAGGGTGTGGGGTCCAAATATGCCTTTCTTTTTTAAACACAAATCAATTATGTTGTTTAGTAGCTTTATTATATATTGACACCCCATTCAAATTTAAATTCAATGAACAAGTGGGGTTTGATTTGCTTTGAATAAGATGCATTTGGGTAAAGCTTTATCTCAAATGATTATATTAGGAGAGATATTGGAGATATAGTATTGCCATCTTCTTAAATTGAGTAAGAGTGAAATGACTATCCATTATCATGACTAAGAAAGATTTACATGTTTGTGGTACCTATATGGGCTTCATCTTATAAGCTATACAATAAAGTCATGAGAGAGAGATTAAATAAAAATTTAAATGAAATGATATTAGTATCTAACATATAATTTTGCTTTATGCCAGGAAGATCAATTGTAATGATGCTTTTTTTATGAAAATAACTAATGAAAAGATATGTATATGAATTTTGTCAAACCATGAAAGTGTTTGAACTTTAATATTATTTGAATTGAATTGACATACATTTTGGAGAAACACTCCATTAAAGTTGTGTTGAACCTTAAGCTTTGAAATGGCTTGCTTTAGCCTTGATAAATAAGCATCAAATGTGATTTTTCATGAGACTGTTTAAGCAATGAATGGAGCAAAGCATCTAGACTTTGCCCTAATCGAGGACTTTATATTTCTTATCAGATTATAATGACGATAATCCTTAGCCGTTATTACTTATTATTTACCCTTGTTCCCTCATTATGTATTTCCTATTTTGCTTTATTCTGTTTTATTTCTTTACTTAGTTGTTTTATTCTGATTTATTACTTTCCTTTATTATGCCTATTATAATTGGGATTAAATACCCCTCCTGTCAATAATGTGTTATTTTATTCAAAATTTCATCATGGTATCAGAGCCTAACCCTGGTTTCAGTAGCCGACTTCTTCTCCTAGCAACCGACCTATCTGCAGGTTCAAGCACATCAACGGGCCTCCTCTTTTTTGCCGCTGTTCAGCATGTTGTTCCTTTTTGTCGCTATTCTTTTTTTTGCTGTTGTTCTTTCTTTTTTTATTTTTTGTTGCTATTCCTGCATTGTTTACCTTTTTGCTGTTGTTCCTGCTACTTGCAGTTGCCGCTGTTCTTTTTTGCCGTTGAGGAAGTTGCCGTTGTTCCTTTTTTTGCTGCTGTTTCTGCTACACGCAATTGTCGTTGTTTCGGTTTCTATACCTGTTGGTCTGACAGTTTCTACTCCTGTCGTATTCTGTAAGAAGGGTTCCTGCTACCTATACCTGTTGGTCTGACAGTTTCTACTCCTGTCGCTATTCTGTAAAAAGGGTTCCTGCAATTTCTGCAATTTCTGCAATTTCTGCAATTTCTGCAAAAGGGTTTCTGCCCAACGTTGTTTTCGTGCCTTGTGATTCTACCAAAATTCATCGTTGGCTCCTTTGGCTCAGTTGGAGTTATGGCTGATTCTTTTAATTAGTCACCCTCAAAAGGTGTTCTTGACTCCACTAGAAGATCGGCTTTAAACCCTGCTCCCGTGCTGATCGGAGGATCAGAAACCAACATGAATTTCTTAATCACAACCTATAACCTAAACAACAGTAAATTTCTCCAGTGGTCCCAAGTAGTGTCTTTGTTCATCAAAGGACGTGAGAAGTTTGGTTACCTCACAGATATAGTTTGTAAGCCTTCAAAGACTGACCTGACATATGGAGCTTGGTAAGAGGAGAACTCCATGGTAATGCCATGGCTGATCAACTCCATGGAGAGTTCGATTGGTTGGTCATATATGTTTCTTCCTATAGCTAGTGCCCCTGGACGGGTGCCCACGATACCTATTCGGATGTAAGAAATTTCGACCAACTCTATGAGGTATCTAAGAATATTCGGGAGACAAAAAAGAGGTCAAGGGTCGTGACCCAGTACTATAATGATCTTGTTTCACCATGGATGAAATGTAACCTGTACTACGACTACATTTGGGATTCTCCGATTGACTTATCCCTCTTCTAGTAGATTGTAGCAAAGGATCGTATGTTCCAATTCCTTATTAGCCTTAACAAACTTGATGAAGGCCATATTCTTGGTTGGGATCCCCTTTCTTCCACCCGTTGTTTTGACCGAGATTCGTCGGAAAGAAAGCGGGAGGCTTGTCATGCTTGACATTTCTACTCCTTCAGCTGAATCGTCCACCTTTATCTCCAATAGTGCTTAGCCCTTGTCTATGCTACATCGGACTGGTCACCTCACTTGTGATTACTGTCATAAACCCAACCACACTCGGGACAAACTTCACGGTAAGCCGACATACAATCCTTCGGCAAAATCTTTTGCAGCCAAGGGACTCAACGCGAAGATCAAACAAGGCACGACTCAGCCGACTTCTATCTGAAACATCTTAGAATCCTCCAAATCCCCAAAGAATCAGATGGAGCAATTGATCAAGCTTCTTGGAGCCAATCAAGACTCTGCGGGTCCATCAACCTCTCACATCCGACAATGTACTCTTCCAATTGCTCTCACAATTTATTTCTCTTCTAGTTCGTGAATTATTGATTTAGGTGCCACAGATCACCTGACTGACTGCTTAACTTACGATTCATGCTCTGAAAAAATTCCTGTCATGATTGTCAATGGATCATGTAGTCTCATTATTGGCAAAGGGTTGGTTGTACTAACGATCGGTTAAACTCTGGAGTCTATTTTACATGTTCCCCGATTGTTGTTAGACATGTCAGCCAAGCATCACTGGGACCATTGCCCACCTCACAACTACACACCTTCCGCTCCTTTCTCCCTCATTCATAGTGACATAAGGGATTTTTCTTGCACTTTCAACTACATCAATAAACTGTGATTCATGACCTTAATTGATGATTGCACTCAATTGACATGGGTCTCTATTTTAATAGACAAATCGTAAGTCGCGGATTTTTCTTGCACTTTCAACTACATCAATAAACTATGATTCATGACCTTAATTGATGACTGCACTCAATTGACATGGGTCTCCATTTTAATAGACAAATCGTAAGTCGTTGTAACCTTCTAAAACTTCTACACCTTTGTCTTAACTCAATTCAAAACTCCCATTCAGGTCCTTAGGACCGACAATGATCGTGACTTTTTTAACTCTATTTTGAGTGAATTTTTGGTTAGTAAAGGAATTCTCCACCATAGTTCTTGCACGGACACTCCGCAACAAAATAAGGTAGCCAGGAGAAAAAATCGCTACCTCCTCGACATTGCTCACTTCATTATATTTCTATCCAATGTCCTGAAACGCTTTGAAGCGATGCAATTCTAACCGCCACCTATCTCATAAATAGTGCGCTTCAAAATTCACAAGTTTCGAACCTTAACAGTCTCAATGTCATGCTTCATTATCAATCAGATTTTCTCCACATTAGATCCCAAAGTTTTTAGGTGCACTACCTTTGTTCAGAACACTGCCTCTACTCGGAGCAAACTTGATATCGGATCCATAAAATGTATCCTACTTCGATACTCTGCAACTCAGAAGAAGTATCAGTGTCGAGATCCAACCACTAACAAAATTTATGCAAGTGTTGATGTCTCCTTCCTTGAAAGTGTTCCATATTTT